AATCCTGCTTTACAAATGAGGCAGTTCAGGGCCAGAGAAGGAAATGACTTGTCCAAGGCCTCAGGGCCTCTTGCCACCGAGGGGAAGGTCCAGTTCCCATCGCTGCCTTCCCAGCCTGCATTCTTACATGGCGCCCCTGTAGTTTTCCAGCTCTGATACCCCTGCTTGTTTGTAAAATCTAGAATGGTACTCGTATCCTACAAGTATGAGGGTGCTGCTATTTAAAATGTACTACTATTGTTACTTTTCACCCACAGGAAGATTTCCATTTTCATCCCTGCACCAGCTGTCTGCAGAGTCTTGTCTGGGGCTGGTTACTGGTCTCCACTTCCAAGATACCCAGCACAAGGAGACAGCGCACTCTACAATTCTGGTATCTGCCCGCCCCTCACCGCCCCCGGTAACTCACCGCAAATCGGTTTCCACATCTCTCGCTGCCACAGCATCTGCAGCAGTCACTTTCCTTCAGGCCCAAGAACAGGTTGGCAGGGAGAAGCACCTACCAGCAAGAGAAATACCTCAGAGTGAGCCTGAGATGGGAAGCGAGGCTGAGATGTGACTGCCTGGCTGAGTGAGAGGCTGTGACTGTGATGTAGGATTGGTGACCAAAGGGAATGGCAAGAATTAAGAGAGCATGGCTGATGCGTAGATGAGTGTTACTGAGTTTTAGATGCCATTTGTTAAATGCAGTTTCAGTGGAGCACGATTTCAAGATTTGACCCCCTGTGTTTCCACTTAGATGTTGGGTAAAGAAAAGAAAAAAAACACCTGTCATTAATTGTCACAAAAAGTCAGTCTCTATTGAAAACAGGATAAGAAATTATTAGTGCAAAAATGGAAGAAGAATCCCCTGACAACTGCTTCTCTTTGTTGTTTTCAATTAATCAGTTTACTAGAAAGTGTATTCGATCCCACACCCCACACCCCAACGTCATGCCCCAGCACTTTCTTGTTAGAATAAAGAAATTCGTTGTCTTCATTTTGGGTCATGGAACTTAACTGACCCATGAAAAATGCCAGCCCAATTTTAAATTACCCAGTAAAGTTAGTGGACAAGTCTTTGTTGGATCCTAATAGAGAGGGAAAAATTAAGGCAGTGATTTTTCATTATACAAGACCTCAGCTTTTGTTGGCAACTAAAATCTTCCTTGTCAATAAGTACCCAGTTTTAGAAGGATTGGGTCAAAATTTCTTTTAGAGGGATTTTAAGGCTTTCCTACTCACCAAGACCCCGCTTCCCAATATTCCTCCAAAAAACCAGACCTCTTCTGAAAGGTGTTCATTGTTGTCTATCACTTTTCCTCCAGGGAAAAATAAGAGGATGTTAGCCAGGAAGCCAAACACAGTGAGGGGAATGAGGGCACCCCCCAGGCACTTGGCACAGTTTCCAGTGCACATGCTGGGGCAGTACAGGACAGGTCTGCGATAAAAGGCCCTTCACTGCCTCCTTCACGGGGTATTATCAAAGTTATCAGCCAGAGGGTCCTAGTAGATGTTCCCAGTTCATCCGTATTATGGAGCTGAGAAGCAAATCAGCCTGTGAACTGTCCGTGGAGCTACTTCAACTTCTCAGATATAGCAAAACCTCAATTGTGATGGACATTTATACATTCTCCCTGATCTGAAGCCCTTTTTACTTTTTATGAGATTACATTCAGTGCAATCATTTTGCCATGGAGACTAATAACCTCTGTTAATAATCCACCAGTGTAGACAAGACACTTACATTGTTGGAATTGTACACAGGGCTAGAACAAACAGCATTTGGAACTACTGCACCTTTAACCTGACAGTGTTCCTGCCCAAATAAAGAAATATTTCCCCTGGGCTCTTTACAAATCACTGTTTAATTGAGTTACATCCTAGCTAAAATCATGTCTCTGAAGTACTTAGTGGTCTACAGTGCATCTTTGTCTTTTTTTTTTTGCTCAAAACCTGGAAAGCAAGAGTTATCCAAAAGAGCTTCTGTTAATAAGAATTAATGGTCTGGTTGGGTATTGCTGAGCTCAGACCTATAGGAATTCTTTAAATGATAAAATCAGAATAACTATTTTAGTGCCTGACTGCTATATTTCTATACTTGTTACTCCATTAAGTTCTATTGCCTTCCCTACCTGATGTGGTAGAATTAGCAAAAACAGTTTTCCCAGTCATCTTATTCAGCTACATCTTCCATGCAGAACTAAAAACCTCTACCTTCTAAGGGTAAAGTAGAGTTAGTTTTGGGTAGAGGAGAGGAGAGATACTGGTGAATAGACTGGAGGCAGAGCAAAGTTGCAAGAGCAGCTAGAGAGTGTAGGAGGCAGTAAGATGGATGGTTATTGGAAATTTTGCCAACTGCCAGGGGCATGACTCAGTTACTAATTTGTAATACTTGGTGTCACTGAAGAAGGTCTCTGTCAGGCCTAGACCAAACTCTACATTAAGCAGTGACTCTGCTTTGTGCTCACCTTGTGAGGGACTATGGGTGAAACAGGGATCCTGCTGGTTCTTTGCTAAGAGGCTAGAGGTTGGAATTAAGAACAATAAGATTTTATAGGCAGTATGGTTTTAGCTAAGTGAAAAGCAAGAAACACCATTACTTGTGGTGAGTCCTGTCCTACAATGGCGTTGGCTACCCCTCCCAAGGAAGCAGTGGACAGGATTCCAGAGAAGTCAGATTGTATGGATGCTGAGGTTCTTACTAAAGACTCTGTGAAATGTGCACTGGTTGCTCTATAGAGATACTTTTGGAGATCTCAGGGTTGGAGTGTGAAGAAAAACAGCAAATGCTTTTGAACATGCATAATATACTGAACACAAAACTTCACACCCTCCCGTGAAGAAGAAATCACATTCTCTCTACAGCTGATAACCCTCTAGCTCAGAGAAGTATATCATGCAAGGTCATTCCAGCGTAATAAGGGGAAGCTCAGGTTTAAATCGAGACTGTGTCAGCAAAACTCAAGCTATGGTCTTCCTAGCAGATTTTCCCTTTTGGAAATTAAAAACATCATTTTTCCCCCAATATAAACAATAGAATACACTATGCATGCAGTATTCGGATACAGTGAAACAAACTTCTGAACAACAACAAACAATTGTATTTTTTTTTCTCATTACAAGGCAATATGGGCTTTTTTTTTTTTCCTTTTGTAAAAAAGTTAGCTATACAGACAAGTAGAAAGAAGAAAAGAAAACCCAGCTCTGTTCTCATTCCCAGCAGATAAGGACCGTTATCACTTTACTGGCAATTGTTTCCCAACACTCCAAGCAGATGCTAATGAGCTGTATTTATAACCCACCAATTTTGCTGGGACGTTTGGAGACTAATCCTTTGCAGGAAGACAAAGGTTCTACAATGTAAGGGCTGAGTTAACCACAGGAGATGCCGCCTTTGGGGATAGGCAGCTCCCCGCCTTTTTTCCTGTTTCCAGGTCCTTTTGCCTCCAGAAGTTACCAGATGGCATTTGAATAACACTGAGCAACACAGTCGTGATATCCTAGACTTTTCAGACTATCAACTAGAGTTGACAGTCTATATTATCTGAGTAAATGGATAAAAATAAAGAATATAGTGGAGGACAATTCAGTTCTCTCCCAGGATTTTTAAGAAGATGTGGGACATGAATAGTGGTGAGAGAGAAGCCTGAGGCTGTTTATTTCTTGTGTGGAAAAGGAGAAATAATGAAAGACAGTGAACCTTTTGGAATGCCCTGACCACCTGAGACTTCAAACACTTGGAGAGTGACTAACTCGTTTATTGTTCAACTGTTCCTTTAAGAAGGAAGTGAAACATCTAATCTGGAGAAAGGAGATGGTGGAGGAAGGGAAGCTTGGTGACATTCACTCTTAGGAAAGAGTAGGAGTCATGGACAGACTAGACAATAGAGAACATTTTGTGAGATTCTGGGACTCTTCTTTTTCTTTTTTAAAAAAGAGATTTATTAAAGCATCTGATTACAAAGATGGAAAACCATACAAATTAGAAACATGCAACTGTTATCTTCCACAGTCAAGTTAAAGTGTTATATATTTTTCTGTTCTCATAGCTGAAAACTTCAGATAGTATACCCAACTCACTCACCCTGAATATTCAATTCATCCTTGCTGAAATTATCCAGGACAGCAGATAATCAAAATACAAACTATCGTATAACAGGCAAACAATATCAAGACTGTGTCACCAAAACCCAAGCTATGGTCTCCCTAGCAGATTTTCCCTTTTGGAAATTAAAAACATCATTTTTCCCCCAATATAAACAATAGAATACACTATGCATGCAGTATTCGGATACAGTGAAACATACTTCTGAACAACAACAAACAATTGTATTTTTTTCTCATTACAAGGCAATATAGGCTTTTTTTTTCTTTTGTAGAAAAGTTAGCTATACAGACAAAAGTTAGGTGGTATAGAGTTTATCGACAAAGGCAGAATTTCTTCAGGCAGGTATGTAAGGAGGCGGTGGTCTTTTTCAGGCATCTTCACTGCCATTTCATAAATTGGCCAAAACATACTGTGGAGGTGCTTCAAAGGGAGGGTATAGAGCAATCTCTGCTGTGTTTCTGTTGTTGATGTATTTATTACATTTTCAAACAAAGTTGATTAGGTAAGCCTTCAAAAATGATAAATAAGGCAAAGAACACAAGAACAAGGAACAGGAGGTTAAGGTCCAATGCCAAGAGGTCATCATTACAGGAAAAAATCAAGTAATTGATCCAGATATTCTTTGATTCTTGGCAAATTAATGAGAGAACTGATAGCTACTAGGCAACTGAGAACTAAGTTAAAAAGTTCTTAACAGAAAAATGGAATAAGCCAACCTACTTGATAAAAATTGCTCCATATACCAGCATTGAACCGATTATAGATATAAGAAAAGAGAAAGCAAAAAGAACACAGGCATTATCAGCCATTTTCTCAGACGAATAGTAATGGTCAATGACCATACTGAATGTTGACAGCTGGCATTGAGTTTGGATGAGTTACCTCCACAGTCAGAAAAATTGCCATTAATAGGTTTACCACCATGTTCCAGGTCCCCAGGATGATCATCCCAGTGCAGACATGGCAACAGCTGCAGCCCTGGGAGATGTAGAACCAGTCACTGTGGCTCCTCTTGAAAGTCAGGGGCACTATTGGGAATCTCGCGGGCCTTGTTCTTGGTTGGGCCTCTGACAAAGGCTTTCTGCCCAGGAGTTGAACCCAGATAACCCTGTCACTGTGTCCAAAACCAAACCACACATCTTTAAGCCCACTCCTGGAGCCCCAGCTGGCTCCTTTGCACCTGTGTACTGAGTGCCACTGGGACTCGTGATGCCAATACTTGATGGTTTGCTGTTTGTTCTCTGTTTAGCAGCGAAGCCCTTCAATCAAAAAGGCTAGAACCCTCCTTTTCAGAGACAGCAATGAGGAGATGATGTGACTGAGCCCCACTTTGGGTCCAGTCCTGTAAGAAGACGATCTCAGAAGTGAGAGCAGAGGGCAGCTCAGGAAGGGACAGAAAGACAGTAGGGAGCCATTTGGGAAGAAGGAAAGAAGAATGCAAACATGGTGGCTGACATGCTGTACTTCACCCTCTGGGAAGTTTAACCACAGGAAATTAAGCAGCAGGAAGTCCAGAGGTTCCTCCCTGTGATGTAGGTACTTCATTCCTGAGACAACAGAGCATGGGAGTAGATGTTTTTCAAGTGACTCTGATCACATGCAAAAAGCATGCCCAGTACTTAGGTGAAGCTTACTCCTATTTGCTAGACTTTTTCACCCTGCAATTGATGAAGAATCATTAATTCGGTCTAATGCAATGCAATCAATGAATGTGTTCGAAAACATCCATGATGTGTTCAACAATGTGCCGAGCGCTATCCTAATGAACAGAATATATCTGAGTGACTTTGCCCTCCACAGTGTTATAACCTCCTACTTGTGACAAGAGACAAGGGAAATCATGATAGAGGTTAAATGAGTTCAATGTTCCTTGGCAAAAGCACTAGGAATAGGTTCTTCTGCTTGTCTTAGAGTAAATCACTGTCATGTATTCAGTCAGCACCAGGTGTTACAAAGTTCAGGTCCCCATCTTTGCTTGCCTAGATTATGGAACAGTTTCTGACAAATGATTTCCAGAAGGAGGAAAAAATAATAGAAAAATCAATGGACATTGCATGTAACATGAAAAAGAGCCATTTTATAAAATTTTTATAATGTGTATATAGATATCGGGTAATAATGCAACATATTTTGTTTACTGTAGGTCTCTAATCAAAACATAAAAATCAAAAGCATTTAATGAAAGTTGATAATTTATAAAATGAAAGTTATTGATCTTTATAAAATACAAATCTGATCTTATATGCTCTTGCTTAAAGCCCTCAGGAGGCTCCATGGCCATCATTTTAATACGAGTCTTCCATAAGAG